TGTAGCCGAACCTTGCTGTAAGGAAAGTGAAAGGCCGGGAGCCCGTGAGAGCAAGTGCGCGGAAGTTCATGTTTTGTTAAATATTTTTCTTCAAATTTGCTAGGAAAATGACCCCCCCCCCACTTGCTTGCTTCACCCTCTACTTTCGCCACCCCCAAGAGATGCAACTCTTTTCTGAGCAAACTGTAGTAAGGTGTCTGAAATCTGTAGCCCGAGCGGGACCAGAGTATGTTAGGGGTTCCGGCGGCAGCCCCCCCCGGACAATTTTTGATTCCGAGATGCAATTTCTGCTGCTGGGACGCCAAAATGACAATAAGTTCACACTGATTATTTGCCTGCCGAAATACATGTAGTTATTTCAATCATGTTATAATTGCAATGCTAACACTGAAACAAAACCTTGAATATATCATTGAAAAAATGCTTTTTTTTCGATCGTAATAAAAAATCGTCAGTTTATATTGCAAACTGTCGTAGTGGTCAAAATGCAAAACGAAATTTCGCATAAAATACGGCATAAATCCGTAGTGCGTTAGCATCTCTACAGCCCCCTTACCTCCCCGGCCCCTCAAGCATGAAGCAAGGTCGCCACCTGGCTTCAGAATTCCTCCCCCTCTCCCTCCTCCCCAGCTTCCTCCCCCTCTCCCCCAGCGGCACGTACCTCTCCGTTCTTGTCGCGCACGCCGCTTCGTTGAACTCCTTCCCCTCGAGCACAAGGAAGTCATCTTCTGGCTTCAGGATTCCGCACTTGCCGCGATCGAGCGTGCCGTGTTGACGTTGTCCCCGGTAACCATGCGCACGGTGATGCCCTGACTGCTGGCACCGCTTGATCGCCGACGGCACCACCTGCGCAGCACCGAAGAGAGGGGCACGCGTAAGCGTGGCGCCACCCGGTGGTTGTCGTCGCACTTTTTACGAAATTTACATATTTTTTTTGGCAGATTATGTCGTGGGCAAATAGTGCCGGGAGCTACGTGAAATACAAGTATGGTATTTTGTTTACTCTTCGTGCCTAATTGCTGCGATATACTATTCGCAACAAGTTCATAATTATCCGTCTCGCGGGAACAAGCGCGAGGCGACGTTCTCAGTCACGTGACAGAAAATCCGCAAAATTTCAAACGAACAAAATTTTTGTTCCGAAACGGTAAATTCCGACGCGAGACACTTACGACACACGGCTGCAGGGCGTGGCCTAGGGCGCTTGGCCTCGCCGGCGTGGCGCCGGTGGGCGTGAGGGGTACCTCGGGTCGACGGGGTCCTCTATGCGACGATGCGAGCGCCGTGAGGCCGGAGATGGTGGCGCCCTCGTCATCCCAGTTCGGCGGGTCGTGTTCGTCGTAGTGAACCTCGTTCATCTTCGCCTCGCCCTGAAAACGCGACGACGCGGTTGCCTCGGTTACCATCGACGCTGTTAGTTACCGTGGCGACGGCCGCAGCGACGGAAACAATGCTGCTGCTGATATCACCTAACACTAACCCACCTTACCTAACACTAGCGCCACCTACCTAACACTAGCGCCACCTACCTGGCACGTAGTCCTTGTATGCAGTAACGCCACCTACCCCTAATTCACTAGCGCCACCTTACGTTCGCCCACGTAGTACTTGTAATGCAGTAACGCCACCTACTAACACTTCAGCGCCACCCTACCTGGCACGGTAGGCCCTTGTATGCAGTAACGCCACCTACCTAAACACTAGCGCCACCTACGTGGCACGTAGTACTTGTATGCAGTAACGCCACTTACCTAACACTAGCGCCACTACGTGGCACGTAGTCCTTGTATGCAGTAACGCCACTTACCTAACACTAGCGCCACCTACCTGGCACGTAGTCCTTGTATGCAGTAACGCCACCTACCTAACACTAGCGCCACCTACCTGGCCATGTAGTACTGTATGCACTAGCGCCACCTACCCTGGCACGAGTCCTTGTATGACTAGCGCCACCTACCTGGCACGTAGTCCTTGTATGCACTAGCGCCACCTACCTGGCACGTAGTCCTTGTGATGCACATAGCGCACCTACCTGGGCACGTAGTCCTTGTATGCATCTAGCGCCACCTACCTCGGCCACTACGTCCTTGTATGCACTAGCGCCACCTACCTGGCACGTAGTCCTTGTATGCACTAGCGCCACCTACCTGGCACGTAGTCCTTGTATGCACTAGCGCCACCTACCTGCGCAGTACGTCTTGTCATGCAACTAGCGTCACCTTACCTGGCACGTATCCTTGTATTGTACTAGCGCCACCTACCTGGCATCAGTTCCTTGTATGCACTAGCCGCCACGCTACCTGCGAACGTAGTCGCTTGTATGCACTAGCGCCAGCCTACTGGAAAACGTAGGGTCCTTGTATGCGAGCCCGATCGTGCGCAGTCCGTCAACATGCCATCGGCTCGATCAACGGCTCGTGATGAGCTGCCTCTTGTTCCTTCCTCCGAAAACTGAGTCCGCCGCCACGCGCCCGCGCCATGATGAAGTGACCTAGGGGGCGTCACATGAAAACAAGGCTGAGCGCGGGCCCGCAATTAATTTTGGTTTAATTTTTTAATAATTTTTTTCGCCTCAGATTTAAGCATTAATAACCGGTAATACTTACTACCATAATTAATAAGAAATTAATAAAGTTAAAATCAACTAAAATAATAACTAATAATGATGATACTTATTGTTATTAATTTAGGCTTATTAAACTTACTTGCAATAACTTAATTAATAATAATAATAATGATAATAATAACAATAAATAATAATAATGTAATTATAATAGATTTAGTGTAACTTCGCTGCGTACTTTTTCAGAAATGATCTCGGAAGCACGCCTTGCAGTAGACGCCGCGAAGCCACGCCCTGGCCGCGGAACCACCTGCCTCATCCGACTTGCGCACAGAGTTTGAACAGTGAAACACCTGCAATGCCACACCTGCCATCTACTGACGACCGCCCACAAACCATTCGACGTCGCTTACCTTTTTCGCAAATTAAAAAAAACAATTTTTATCATTTTTTCCCATCTAGCACCGCTTTCGATGCGCCGATGATTATTCGATGTGCAAAGTTTCCGCCTGTAATTAGCTTCGAAATAGAAATTACGTGAAACCGCGAAACTACTCAAAGGCCTAATCGATTTCATTCTCGCATTCAAATCAACTTTACTCAAATTTAATTCAACCAGTAATGAATTAAATTCGATTTTTAATACTAAAAAAATACCAAATTCAAGTAACGCCGATTTCAAGTATCGACGCCGCACGTATGTACAGCGCCGTGCACGCCGCGAGCGGACGCCGTGGCGCCCCCTACCTTTGATGAGACATTTCCTCGGGCAATCTCGCTCGCCGAATTGTCTGGTAGTCCGCGTCGAGGTCGAGACGATAACCAGCAAGGAACACTCAGTTCTTGTTTCCTAATTGCTATGTATCGCTGGTCGACTACGCTCTGGTATCTGCACACGCAGTTGAGAGAGAGAGAGACGAGGAGAGGAGAGAGGCGGAGAGATGACATTCAGCAGGACGCCAAGGATTCGGGTCCCCGCTCGTTAAGCGTTTAAATTAAATTAATCAATTAAAATAATCCATCGTTCGTTCATTAATTAAACGATTGCCGCCGCATCTGGTCCACGCCGCTTGATACGCGTGCAATTTATATTGAACAGTTTAATTATGATCGAGTAACGCAAGATGTACGCAATGTATTAACGCAATGTGTGAGTATCGGACCGTTGTGTGATAACAGAAAGGGAGCGAGAAAGCAAGTGAGAAGAGAAATGGAAAGAGGAAAGAGCGAGTGGGAAGGAAAAGAGATGGGGAAAGGAAAGTATGAAGGGGAGGGAGAAATGGAGAGCAAAGAAAGAAGGCAAGAGAGAAGGAAAGGATTTGAGGGAACGCAGGGAAGGAGGGAGGAGAGAAAGGAGGAAGGATTGGGAAGAAAGAGAGAGACAGACAGGAAGTGAGAGAGAGAGAGAGAAAGAGAGAGAGAGAGAGAAGGAGAGAGAGCGACCAAGAAAGAGAGAGAGAAAGAGAGAGACAGACAGGAAGTGAGAGAGAGAGAGAGACAGAGAGAAAGAGAGAGGAGAGAGAGATGAGAGCGAGAGAAGAGAGACCGGAGAGAGAGAGGAGAGAGAGAGGAGCAAGAGACAGACAGACAGAGAAGAGAGAGAGAGGCAGATAGATTACGAGAAGAGAGAGAGGAGCGACCGGGAGAGAGCCGACGGAGAGAGACAGAGAGAGGCAGAGAGAGATGAGATGAAACGGATGATGAGGAAGAGAGAGATGCGAGAGGGAGTATCTAGATTAGAGAGTGAGAGCAGAGCAGAGTTCGAGAGAGCAGAGAGAAGAGAGAGACAGACAGTACAGGAGAGCGAGCGCGTACAGCGAGCAGCTTACTATGATTTTAGAAGTGTAGCCGCTGTTCCTGCGATGCCGTGTACAAGCAGCTCTCCCACGTTCGCCGGAATGTCGTCACAATACTTCGGTGGTATTCCTTGTTATTGGTTAATCTGCAAACGCACGCGCGACACCGATAAAGAAACAAGAGAACACTTGTGACTAGCCGACGGCCGCCACGCCGATGCTTTCAGCTACTGTGAGAATTGCCACCGATGCTTCAGCTACTTTGAGAATTTCGGTAGGTATCGGTGCTGCACGCATCGTGTCTGCAAATGCCCGAAACGGGTTGCGACGCGGGTGTACAACGCCACTGACGGCGGTGCTCAACCTGCAAAAATGTTCAGAAGAATCTTGTCCATGTAGGCTTGCTAACGACTACACCTCACATCTCACACCAACGTATTAGCCAGCGGACCGTGAAGCCCGTGAGTGTCGCATACTGGTCAGTTTGGAAAATCAATTACTCATAATAGAGGAGAGAGACCGCCGCCCACAGCTCCGAAAAAAACTGAATAGTATACCCACGCGTACCTAAAATCTTCGATCTTAAAGACACACTAATGTCACCCAAAAGATGAATTGCCACTTTCATCAATATTTATTAATCTTAAGTGCAACTCCTTCACATACTCTATTCTTCCCTCGAATGACCATTATTGACCCTACCTGTCTACACCACCCCTCCCTGCCTCCCCGCTCACTCTGCTGGCCCCCTTGTGCCCCGGCACGTCGACAAACCAGTTGTTCCCTACCTCCTGCCATGCCCTCACGCATGCTGGACGACGGTCATGCGCGTTGGGCGTCAGGCTGTACGCCTGTTTGCGTCCCGAGCAGCATTAAGCCGTCGCATTTCCCATTGTCTCTGCAAGCGCTCTGAGATGCCCGCACCAAGTTGTTGCTCGTGGGCCCATCATTCTGCGGCGGCGCAGCGGATCGGTACTGGGGTGGCGAGGTGAATGAGCGTGAGAGGAGCGTGAGAGAATAGCGAAGGTGCGAGAACGTCGGAGGTGAACGTGCGCTGGGCGACGCGATCGCTCAGCGCTACCTAGATCGATACCTCCTCACCGTTGACGGAGTAGGCTCAGGCCGAGAGCATGACGAGTGGCAGTGAACGGACCATGGTTCATACAGCCGAGGGACTGGAAATTTTTCCCAATGGACGTTTCAAGGGACTTTCAAGCGACATTTTATCGGAAATTCCAAGGACATTTTATCGGAATTCATGCACAGACAAAACATACCTGGATTGAATTAATAACCCCATCTTAATCACTGCATGTCACTCTCAAAACTTACCTGCGATCAGACATTCAATAAAAACCCTTCTAAAACACTGTCACTTCTACAACAATACCTTTGATTTACTGACTGATTTTATTGACTTGGACTGTTAATTGTGATCATCCATTTTAACTCATGGGTTGCAGGGGGGGCGGGCGTCCTGTGAGGTGTGACGCACCCCCCAAATATTTTTAAAAGCCACCCCGTCCACATTTTTTCCCAAAAGACATTTTTTTTTCGAGGGCCTTTTTACAAATGATCATAAAGTGAAAAAAGATCAGGTACCAGCCAATGAGTCAAAGACATTGCCAATTGGTGACGTTAAATCTATCCCAATATCCAAGCGAATTCTTATAAGTGGAGGCTTAATTTTATATACAAAAGTTTTGGATTTTCAAGTAATAAGAGTGTGCCGGAAGCAGGAGACTGGACAAAGACAAGAGACAAGTGACGGAAGATCAGACAAGACAAGAGTAACAGGATCAAAAAGTTCAGAGAGAATATTGTGTGTGTGTATAAGTGTTAGACAATTGGTCTCCCAGGGCTGGTGTACAGGGCGGGGGGTTAGTGGGTTCCGCACCCGGTGGGTGTGGAGGCTGCTGAGAGCGTCAGCAGGTCGGGCCGCAGAAAACACACTCTAAGGAGGTCTAATTGTCATAGACATCACCCCAGACCTCGCGTCGGCCCTTCGCGACGGGTGTGAGTAGTGCTCCCAAAGTTCTGGCGTTACCAAGTTAGGAGTCCCACGCCAGGCCTGGTACAAATCCCGGTGAGCTCGACGGCCCTCGATTGTATTGACATGGTAATCACATCTTGCTGCCTATTTCATTGTGAAAAGGTCCAAAAAATTTATGATTTACGAAACCCACCCAGAAAAAAACCTGGATACACCCCTGTAACTGTCTATCGAAGTCTATGAGCTTTTTAAGCTCATTTAACGCAATTTGTTTATTGAGGTTTTGCCACATTATATGCATGCGCTACAAAAATTTTCTTTTATACAAGCAAAGGATTCTTTCTAAAAATTCAAGGACATTTTCATTGAAATTCAAGGACATTTATCATGAAATTCTAGCACTTTTCAAGCAAAAATCAACATTTACTCAATTTCAAAGACTTTTCAAGGACTCCCCTCCAAATTCAAAGCGACTATTTCAAGGACTGTGCGAACCATGCCTTCGGAATAGCAACCCGCGGAGCACGCCAGGGGCGCTGACGCGACGTGGCACGCAGGCGGCGCGCTGACCTGCGAACGTGGCCACGCCAGGGGTGCTGACGAAACGTGGCCGCCACCAGGAGGCCGCCCAGCGCGGCGCTCTCACCTTGACGGGATGGCTAGGGATGAGCGTGACGCTGCGCAGATTTAGTGGAAGACCTGTCGGCACGGCGACCACGAGCACGCCAAGGGGGCGCTCGCACAGGCAACGTGGCGCGCCAGGGGCCGGCTCTGACGCAAACGTGGCGCGCCAGGCGCGTCGGCGATTAATCACACCCCTCACATTCAGGGTGTCTATCCCAGAAACCACCGCGCAACCTACGCCGCTACGCTCTAACCCTAACCCTAAACCCTAACTCTAACCCTAACCCTAATTCAAATTTAAATAACACTAATAAAATTTAATTAATTAAATAAGATTTTAATTAAATTGTTTGTAAACAATCATGTCAATATTTGCGTGAATTGGCGGGAAAAGAAATTGTTAAAATGGATAAAGAGTAGAAAAATAAAAAAAGATGCAGAAAGAAAAAAACAAATTAAAAACATGTAAGCTCGATGGGCATCTGCAGAGACTACCGACCTTCAGAAAGTAGACGTCCAACACAGGGGGTGGCCGCCTCTACAGATAGTATTCAGCCGCTATTGAAATCATTATGCTTACGGCGATGTGTCATGCATTTACATGCATAATGCATCGCGCGCGGCTTGCGTTCTGGGATAGCCTGCTTGCTGCAGGGGTTGATATAACCCTAACCGCAGCGGGGTTGCTTGACCGAACGTGGCGCACCAGGTGGCCGCCGGCTGTTTTTGCCTTGCGTTCTCACCTTTTTGACGGAAGTTTAGCCTTAGGCGAGAGCGGTTGCACGGCGAGTTGCGAAGACTTTCGGCCACGGGGGGAGAATCGCACCACGGGGAGCTACGGCTGGGAGGTGGAGATGTCAAAGGGGTAGGTCGCTGGGAGGCCGGGAGAAGCATCAGAGGGGTGGGTGGCGGAGGCTTCGAGAGCGTCCAGGGAGAGGGGAGAGGTACAGGAAAATATAGCCGTTATTTACTCCGATCTGACAACACAACAATCACAACCATAAATTAGTGGAAATAACAGTATTAAACTTATAACAACGTATGACAATCCAATCGATCTAACCCCTCGCTCAAACAATCATCTTCAACCAACTGCCTATGTTAGAACAAGTGCGCCAGAGCGACAGCGCTCAACTGACGGGAGGTGCGTTCTTGATGCTAAACAACTGGAAAACGTAATCAAGAGCACCCTCCCATCGCCGATTCGCTCTTCCCTCGTTGTCTCTCTCATTTTCTTTTCTTTTGCTCTCTTTCTTTCCTTCGCGCTCTCTTCTCGCTCGAATCACACACTCTCGGCTCTCTCTCTCCCTCTCTCTCTTGCTCGATTCCACACACAACACAATCTCTCTCTTCTTGCTTCTCTCTTCCTTCACCGCTCTCTCTCTCTCCCTCTCTCTCTCGCTCGCTCACATCACTCTCCCTCGTTTTCTCTTCTTTGTCTTTCTCGTCATCTCTCTCTCTGCTTCTCTTCTCTCTCTCGTCGAGCGCTCCTCTCCTCTCTCACTCTACTACTCTACTCTCTTCTCTTCCTCTGTCTCGCGGGCTCGCGCTCTCTTCCGTGATTCTCTTCGCTCTCTCTCAATACTCTCTTTCTCGATAGGCACGCCGAGTGCGCTGCCGGACGTCGAGGCTTGCTCCGACTGATTGTCTATACAGAAGTGTGTATAGACTGATTGTTTGATGGTCTTTAACAACCTAGCAAGACCCGTTTCGTGGGGGCTAGCAAGGACGGGGTAACGCTTTTTATATAAAACTTCACTAAATGTTTATACTATATGTTAATTCGGGTGGCACACGGCAGCATGTTTCCAGCAGCTGCCAGCGATTGGTAAAAAATTTTATGTAAATTGCTCTAAAAGTTGCTTGTCCGCGGACATAGCTACCTGACAGATCTACTTGTCCTCCGTGGAAATGACAAGTACGGACAACGGATAGCCCTTATTCGAACACTCGGATGGTATCAGGCACCTTCTCGAAGAAATGTTCGTTGGGATCGTTATGAAAGTTTGCCACGAGATGGCGCGTACGTTTGATAGTCTTAAGATTAAAGATGGAAGCTTTCATCGTACGTGTATAGCAACAACTATTTGCAAGACAGAATAGTGTAAGCACTCATCCATTTACCTACGCAGCTACATGGTAAATAGAGAGCTGCACCTGTTAATAATTAACGCAGGCAAAAAACTACACCGTAACTATTCCACCACCACATGCACTGGCAACTGGCAGTGGCATAATTAAAGTTACATGTAACACTGACAGTACAGAATGCCAACAGAAATTATACGATTTTTAGGAGAATAACCTTTCTGTCAAGCAAATTTAGCTTTTGAAATTTCACTGTTGACATTGTAGCCTTACATCCAGGGATGTATAGATTCTACTAGCAAACCCGGCAGATCAAATCTTTCTAACAGTAACAAATCCATGTTTAACCCTCCTCTTGAGCGGTCAAAAGGTTATCAGACACTTTACTCTTCGCATGTCAGTGGAAAGCACATTTCATGGTCCTTTCAATAAAAGCCATAAAAATTGGTAGGTCACCGCTGAAACAAAACGTTTTTCAATTGCTCCGTCAGACCATGTATTCAGAAAATGTCTAAAATCTGCCCTGTTCCGACCCATTGGACCTTTGACCTGTAACCTCCAATTTCGGCACAGTGATGGCTTTTCTACCATAATGCTATACACCGACTATCACGAGCCTAGGTCGAGCCGTTTAGATTTTTGTGCCCAATTCTGCATTTTCTCCCTAATACCTTAAGTTAAGGAGGGAATGTTCCCTTCTTTTTAACACCTCTTGACTTTGACTTTGACCCCAGCTTCGACATCCAACTCGTTTTCGGATTACCCTCCACGCTCCCGCGAATATCGTGACCGTACGTCGAGCGGTTAAGATTTTGCCAACTGTTGACGCACGACGGACGGACGATTCATGCATTCTACAAGCTGCATCTGACTATGTCAGATGAGCTAAAAATAAGACAAAACAAATACATCCAGCACGGAAGCTTGCCATTTTATAATAAGTTGAGATCAAGATAATTACAATCAACTAATAATTACTCATCTTATACGTCTTATCTTATATGATCTTACATGTGATAAGATGATAAAGTTTTACAAATGTTCATCATTAGATAAAAAATACAATAGTAAATCAACTGCTCACAAATAGAAAATACAAACTATACACAGTCTGTAGCTGTAGATCGACATCATAATACATTAGCAGTGTGAGATATGTTTTAGAATCATGTTATCATTTATGTCAGACTTTAATTAACGGCTATGTGTAACATTCACGCAAGCGTTTAGCATGTACCACAACTAAATTATTTCACATCCCAATGTACTTACTAACAACATTATTTGCCTGACAATCATTTATATTTAACTACCAATGCCATATCGACATGCTCGAACAGGCGCATCAAACACAACTGCCCTTCAAAGAACAATAATAACCTGTCCCTACATGCAGCATCTGCTACTCCTCCCAGCGTATGAGCACAGGGATGCAAGTCACAGATATATCAAGATGGATTCTGTTCCCAGAAGACTCCTGGTCCATTTTTTCTGTTTGCTTTTTTAATCCCATGATACACCGGTTATTTGTCAGCAATACAAGAAGGTATGACTGAACGCATGACATTCGTGTGATATTCAAACATTCGTACGCGACTTCTGTACGATACATTTACATTTATGCATGATATTTGTATGATATTGGTACATTTGTGTATGACATTCACATATCAACAAATAATATATGGCTCACGTTCAGGGAGCACAGTTGGACGGTGCTGCCACCTAGCATCATTATTTGAAGGCTCCTTGCGTGGCGGCGCGCTGTATGAAGCGTCTTAGCGTTGCCTCGTCAAGTTCAGCGAACGCCTCTGATTGGATGACGGCAGTCATGTGATTGAGTGCAAATCGCAGGCAAAACTCCTCGAGTTCCTGTAACTCACGAAAAACAGAAGAGCATTTAAATAAAGCAGACAGATAGAGCAGTGGTAGCAGTGCTCGACACAGCCGGTCGCCCGGTCGCCAATGGCGCCCAAAACCTCTGCTGGGCGATTAAAAAATACCAAAAACAAAATATTACAGGCCCAAAATAAAATCTTTGGGCGAGTACAATTACTGTTCGGCGTTGACACAGCGCAAAACAAGTGCTCAGATTTCTATTTATCGCAAAACACTCGGCGGACACGGCTTTCCTATGTAAAGGGAGATTGTAATAACTCGTAATCACTCGTAATAACTCGTAACGACTGGTGATAAACGGTAATAGCTTAAGCACTAGCTCTCCCGTGTTGACGTGGCGTTCCCTGCTGTCGGGTCTGGTTGACATTAACTCCCTATACACAATAGCCACGGTTACACACGCCGAGGCGTGATTGGTTGACCTCATCCAATGGCACGCTACCACATCCCTCCATCCCATGACCAGAAACACTCCTCAGAGGTCCAGCCTCGGAGGCGGCAATCCACGGGTGAGCCGAGCTGAGGGACGCACCGGTAGAGCAGTTCGATGTGGAGACGCTGGCTGCCCAGCCACAGGCCCACCAGGTGCAGCCTCAGGGGCAGCGGCCAGAGCCTCAGCTGCACTCAGGGCCGGCAGTGGTGGATCCTCACGCGGAACCTCACGGCTCGTAACCTCGGGCAGCACAGGGAATTCCGGGTTAGCTGGGTCCTCAACCTGTTCAGGCACTGCAGGTGCATCCAGGTTGCCGGTGCATTGTAGGTGGTCCTGATGACGACGCACAATACGACCATCCTGGAGCTGGGCCGTGAATGATAATGGACCGATACGCCGCAGCAGATTACCCGGTAACCATGTTGGTCCATTCGCAAAGTTGCGCGCCATGACGCTGTCACCAGGGTTGAATGAGCGATCTTGTACGTGTTGGTTGTGTTGCTGCTTCTGTGTTTTCTGCTTTTCCTTTACCCTAGTGCTTGTCCTTGGGTGGACCAAGTCTAGCCTAGACTTGGGTCGACGTCGAAGCAGCAGCTCTGCTGGAGAGCGACCAGTGGTCGAATGCGGGGTGAGACGATAGTTCGCGAGCCAACGTGTGAGTCGAGTCTGAAGCGAATCAGTCTGCATACGCTTCATTCCTTCCTTGAAGGACTGAACAGCTCTCTCCGCGAGGCCATTCGACGATGGGTGGTAGGGTGCAGTGAATGTATGACGGATGCCATTAGCTGAGATGAACATGGCAAACTCTTCACTGGTGAATGTAGGCCCGTTATCACTGACAATGCAGTCTGGTAGACCATGCGTGGCGAAACAGAATCGCAGCTTCTCCACTGTTTTCTGACTGGTTATTTTCTGCATCATGAAGACTTCCAGCCACTTAGTATGCGAGTCAGCGATGACGAGAAACATGTGTCCTAAGAAAGGACCGGCAAAGTCCACATGTATGCGGCTCCACGGATTCGCAGCATACTCCCATGGATGTAGTGGTGCCTTTGCTGGCCTAGATCGATTCACCTGACATGATATGCAGCTTTTCACTTCCAGATCACTATCTATAGAAGGCCACCACACATAGTTGCATGCCAGGCTCTTCATGCGTGATGCGCCCGGATGGGCCTCATGAAGCTCTTCAATCAGTGCCGCACGATGGACGTCAGGCACAACTACACGTGTACCCCACAACACACACCCGTCCTCGCATGACAATTCCGTTCTCCGACGGAAATAAGGCATCAGTTCCACTGACGGGTTGTTATCAGGCCAGCCCTGCAGCACATATTGAACGACACGAGCCATGACTGAATCCGATTTAGTGTCCTGCTGAATCATTGCGCATGTCACAGGACATCCTTCTAGGTGCTGCATCAGGTTGACTACCGATGGTGGTACCGGTATCTCCATAGTCTGAGGTAGTGGAAGCCTACTTAGCGCATCTGCATTCGCTATGGATGGGCCAGGTCTGTAGACGAGCTCGTAGTCGTAGCCTTGTAGGATGAGTGCCCATCTCTGCAATCGAGCCGATGCCAGTTGTGGAACTGCCTTCAGCTCCCCCAGTAGACCTAGTAAGGGCTTATGATCAGTGACGATTTTGAAATGTCTCCCCCCACAGGTACTTGTGGAATTTCTTGACGCCAACCATCATGGCCAATGCTTCTTTCTCCACCTGAGCATAGTTCTTTTCAGCTGGTTGCAAAGTCCTGGAGTGATAGCAGACAGGATGCTCATCACCATCAATCTCGTGAGCCAGGACCGCACCTACTCCATAGGCTGAGGCGTCACAAGTCAGCAACAGGGGTTTATGGACATCATAATGAGTCAAGACAGGAGCTTTCCGCAGGAGCTCCTTGGCAACATTGAAAGCACGGTCTTGATCGGTGCCCCAACTGAACACATATCCCTTTTTTAAGAGCCGATGTAGTGGCTCAAGAGTACTTGCCAAGTGTGGTAGGAACCGCAGGTAGAAGGTCAGCATACCTAAGAAAGCCCGGACTTGTGTCACATCTTTGGGCTTTGGTGCGGCCACAATGGCGATGACCCTGTTGTCAAGCGTAGCCAGACCATCCTTGCTGACTTGATGACCCAGGTACTGCACGGATGTCATGCCGAAACAGCACTTGTTCTTCTTTAATCTCAGGCCAGCCTCAGTGAGCCGCCGAAGAACTTCCTTCAGATTGGCCTGGTGTTCTTCCTTAGAAGCGCCAGACACGAGAATGTCATCAAGGTATACAGCAGTGCGAGGGATTCCTGCCAGCAGATTCTCAATCACCCTCTGGAAAATCGCTGGGGCCGATGAAATTCCAAATGCGAGTCGACTGTAGACAAATAAGCCTCTGTGAGTGTTTATGGTAGTATACTGCTTACTCCTCTCATCAAGCTCAATTTGTTGGTAAGCATGTGCCATGTCCAGCTTGGTGAACAGCACACCTCCCGACAGCGTAGCGAAGAGATCTTCAGGTGTCGGAAGTGGGTAGCGATCTACATCCGCAAACCGGTTCACCGTGACCTTATAGTCACCACATATGT